GTGGATTCCCTGGGTCCCGCCCTTAACATGGCTCCAGGAGACCCGGACAGAGGCACTTGGGGAGGAAAAATGGAGTTTCTCATGACGTGTATAGGGTATGCAGTTGGTCTTGGGAACGTATGGAGGTTTCCGTACTTGTGCTATAAAAACGGAGGAGGTAATTTTTGTTGTCTTAAGACTTTAAAAATATTTATATTCAGGTCATCACAGCCTAAAATAGTCAAGGACCCTTTTCCACGCCTGTAGGTGTATTGAGCTTATAGTTCTAGACCTATATTTTATAGACCGATCGGCACTCAATAAGTTATGTGGTCAGCATCACGCCAGCCACTTTTACTTCCCAGGGTTTTACCTGGTACTCATTTAAGGCTGGGTCGATCTGGGACCAAGGTCAGCTCTGAGAAAAGTCTGGCTCTTTTTCTCTGGCTCTTTTTCAAATTTGAACCTATAACTTTTGGATCTGCAGGCAGGCATCTAGCTGCTATACCACTATGGTTCTCATCATAAAATAGATTCCAGAAAATTTTCTCTGAACTAAAGGTGGCTGGTTGAGATATTGGCTGTATCAACAATCGTGTACTTATTGATTTATAAACAATAGTAGATTTAATTGATCAGTTTTGACATAGATAGTGAAAGAAGATTTTATTCGTATCTTGGTCTCTAGCACTGCCAGGTATGTAGCTGAAACTCCACAGTGGAGTGGGCACAACATGAGCCTTTCGTCTTCAAGTTTCTCTTGGTCGCCTTTTTCCCTTAACCCACCAGTGTCTCATTTCAGTGCCTGTCTGATGATTCTCTAAATTTGTTGTAGCAAATACAGTTTTACAGAGTGTGGGAGCTGATCCCTGAGTCATGGCCCTGAGTCAGAGTGGTAGGAGCATCTTAGACCAGTTCTTCCCATAGTTGGCGCTACCGCCTCCTTAGCACCCCCCATCCTTTTGGAGTGATGGGGGCAGTGACTCTGAGCGGGATAAAGCAAAAACCTCCTCTAACACCATTTTCTTACAGAATAGGTTTTAATGGGGATAACAACAAAAGGTTTTTAAAAAATATATTTAATATAAGGAATGTATGATGGAACAAAATATTCAAAGGAATACAACTCCAACAAAAGTTACTTTTACTGATTCTTGTAATAGATACAGAAATGCACATTAACTTGGGCAGCCAATGTGACTGTTGAATTAAACATTGTAGCCGCAATAGAAAATTAAAATTTAACCCATGTATTGGTCATAGTTTTGGAGAAATAAACGTTTGTGATATATAGTATAGATGGGGCTTAATGATATTTGCAGATTATACTTCAATTAATGTTAATAGTCGCTCCTATGTGGGATGCACATGTGACAATTACTTCCCGTCCTTTTTAGGATGACATTTTTTCGTTATTTGAAGACCTACTCTGGCTCTTGCCAGGGGCCGCAATATAACCTGGCCATAAATATGGCCCATAGGCCAAAACACGGCTTCTGGGACCTCTCCACAGTGATCCTCACCCACATGGTGGCACATTGTGTCATCGGGTGTTTATCGCTTGTGTGATGTCCTGGTGGGGTAGAAAGTCAGTCAGTCAGTGGGATGCATGCCTTTTCATCCCTTTTTGGGATGCAATTTTTCGTTATTTGAAGCCCTACTCTGGCTCTTTCCAGGGGCTGCAATATAGCCCAGCCATTAATATGGTCTAATGGCTGAATGCGGTTTTTAGGACCTCATCCACAAGGTGGGACTTTGTGTCATCAGGTGTTTATCGCTTGTGTGATGTCCTGTAGGGTAAAATAAGAAAGATAGAGGTGGGATGCACTTCTTCATTATTTGAATCCCTATCCTGGTTTATTCCGGGGGCCCTGAATATAGCAGGGCCATAAATATGACCTAATGGCTGAATGGGGTTTCTGGGACCTCTTCACTGGGGATCCTCATCCACATGGTAGCACTTTGTGTCACCAAAAATTATAGCTCTGTGTGATGTCTTGGTGGGGTCAAATTTACCTATTTACCTACCTAAACTTCAACATTTTTTCAACCATCCTGATATGGGATGCAATTTTTTGTTATTTTAAAGCCCCACCACAGCTGTAGTCAGGGGCCCTAATATAACCTAACGGTTGAAACGGTTTTTGTGACCTCTTCACGGGTGATCCTCATCTGAATGGTGGCACTTTGTGTCACCTGCTGTTTGTTGCTCAGTGTGATGAACTGGGGTAAACAGATAGTCAGGTATACTTCACGACCATAAAAAAGGCATTGGTTACTAATTTATCTTGTTGTTTCGCAGTGTAGGTTCCGAGGGCTTCACAAATTTTAGGGATAAAGAATAAACCCACTGTTCCCTGACAAGCATGCCACAGAATGGAACTAATCTGAACTGTCTGAAATTGTAATGTGCCGAAAGTAGCGGATATCACAGCCCAGCTGTAAACCACAACACTAACAATGTGCAAATTACCCTTTTTAAGGGCAAAGAGGAATCTTATTTATTTCCAGATGAACTTAAAATTTGCTGAACTGCTTGCTGCCTGTAAATCCCATCCATCGCATGATGTGTCGTCTTATTTTTTTAAATTATCCAGAACATTGCGTATAGATTAGTGACAGATTATAGGGTGTATTTTTAATGACTATTTTATTTTGCAAAATAATTGCTGTTCCTATTTTTGTAATCACCGTCTGTGGCAATAATGCAACATATACTGCTTTAATGTGTCTTATTTTGAGTACTGTTGTACACAATACAGCTAGCTGTATTTGCAATCGATTCTACCAGTTAAATTGCTAGGATGAGGTACTAGAGTATGAGAAAATCTCATCATAAACTGTTTAACAGCCACACTTAAATACATGCCACACATGCTCAACCAAAAATACCATTTCTTCAATAGTTAACACCATTACAGCTAAGGTCAGTTACTAAAACACAGGTATATAGCAGTGATGTTCTAAACTTACTGTTACCCGGCACTTGAAACATGACGTAGTACACAAGTTTAGTGAAGGTGCACAAATAACTGATTTAAACAGTCTACACGCATTAAACATATGCCCTATATGTAGAAGCTGCAAAGATATGGCTTTATAGAAAAATTATGCGTAAACCAAGGACAGGTAAAAAGTATTAAAATGATGTCTTTACTGCATACAATACCATATTTTCGAAGTGTAGGATGAGTTTCTTAAGCCTGAAGATTTAGGGACACATAGCTGTTGCAGTGACAATGAAATATGCAAGTTTGGATGTTCATTTTTGTCCCTGACATCAGATTTCCATCACCTTACTGAGGACTCCTTACCAAGAATTCGAACCTGGATCTCCCAAAACAGACAACACAATGCATAACCTTTGTTTTTATAAATTTGTTTAAGAGAAAGAAGGAATTAGAAAATATGTATTCTTTTAATTACATTTTTATGTTTTGCAGGTGCATTCCTGATTCCCTATATACTGATGCTGATATTAGTCGGCATGCCTTTGTTTTTTATGGAGTTGGCCTTTGGGCAGTTTGCCAGCTTGGGCCCTATCACTGTCTGGAGAATAAATCCACTGTTTAAAGGTAACTGAGCCACGTCTGTATGTCACAATAGAAGGGTTACACATTCTCAAAACTGTTACTGTAATTTCCTATATCACTTACTTACTTAGTCGCTCCTCTTCTACCTTGGGGTGTAGAGGTTTGCCAGAGAGATTGCCAGACGTTTCTATCAGCAGTTTTCTTTTTTGCTTTGTTCCATTCCACTCCTCTGTCAGTTAGGGACTGTCGGATGTTATCTTCGCAGCGCACCCTGGGCTGCCCTGGAGGTCTGGCTCCCTTGTTCTTAGCCTCCCATGCCTGCCATGGTGGCCGATTTTCTTTCTACATACATCTCCGAACCAGCGTAACTGTGACTGATCCACTCGGGTTTGTAAATACTGGGTATCAAGAGCTTGACGTATTGTCTGATAGATGACTAAGTCCCTTCTTGTCACTTGGACGACCTTTCTCGGGTATCTCATTTCTGAGGCCTGAAGCTGGCTTCTGTGAGCTGTTGTTATTGCCCATGACTCATACCCATAGCTCAGGACTGGTACATAGGTAGAGTGGTAAACAGCCATTTTCATCCTCTTGCCAATTTCTCTTTTGCTAGAAACCCTCTGTTTATGGCCTGGAAGAGTCTCCCAGCAGCTGCTTTTCTTGTAGCCAGCTCAGTCTTAATATCTCCGTTTATACTCTAAGGTATTT